CAATATTGTGAGATGACTTAGCATTCTTCTTTAGGGACTAAGATCATTTCAAAAGGCAACTTTGATAGCGTCATCGATGGACTATGATCTTGTATTTTTGATTTGTTTGTGCTAAGACATCCCATATGCATAACATGGCCATTTTTGTAAGGCAACAAGTGGAATAACCCTAGGGGTTCTAGTGTGCAAGTGTATTTGATTGCATGCATAATTTTGTCTTAAATTAGGGTTTTCTAAACATTAGTTTTAGTCTTGCCATACACACCCTAATTACTAACAATATATGAAAGCAGTAAAAGTGCGAGAAGTAAAGATTATACGCTATTACAATCATTAGGGGGTTGGGGTGTACAAATTTCAAATGGGGATTGCAAATTAAATCCTAAGTTACTATTACAACCACATTGAATGGATAAGAATGTACAAGAAATATAAAATGTTTAGTTTATTTAAGAAAAGAAATAAGTTATGTTTAAGAAAATATTTTTTTGGTCTTTTTGTGTTGAAAGGAATAAAATATAATATGTGAACATGAAATATTTTTGGTATTTTTTTATTGATGAAAAATAAAAGTGATGGTAAAAAAAATAATGGGAAAGAAGACAGAATCAGCGTACATGCTGAAATAGAAGAGGTCAGAAGTTCTGACTCTGACGCGCTGCACAAACAGAAACAAGCGTTAATAGAAATAGGGAAGGTCAGAAATTCTGGGTCCGCTGAGATCAAAGAAGTTTTCAGAAGTTCTGATGCCACTGACAGAACTTAGTCTCCCTCCAAACTAGTCAGGACATCTGCAACTTAGTCATTTCTTAACAGAACAGAAGTTGCGCATATAACAATTATGAAAATTTTCATAATATTTTAGAAACAAGAGATATCAGAAATATAAATCAGAAGCAAACATGAATTTGCTAATGAAGCTCTGAACTGGAATTCCCTCTACTCAGGCAGGCACATGCATGAAATCTCAGAATATGAACATCATGGGAATTAGAATATCTACATTGTATTTTTGAACATGAAAATCTGATAATGCCTAAGTAATATGACAAGAGTTAGCAGAAGTTTACCTTGCAGCTGGAAAATACTTTGTAAGTTGTAACCTGGTTCTGACCACTTGTGATGTTCTGAACAGCTTCCTCACGTGTTCAGCAGGCTGGAAACTTTCAACCTGGACTGTAAATGATTAGAAAATTCTGGAATAACCAAGGGATAAAGTTCTGACTTTTTAAGGTGGAAGTTGATGGAGAATGTATTACAGTTTGACTATATAAGTTTGGATGGCTTTTGAATGTATATCAAGAACTGTATGGATGGTTTTGGTCAGAAAACACTCGAGGAAAAATGGATTTTTAATGCAAAAATCAAATGTTAACAGGTTTTGTATTTTTGTGTTTACAGTTTTTGGACTCTTGGAGTTTTTGCAGGGGTTCAATGCTTTTCTTTATCAAGTTTTTCCACCTCTTTTCAATGGCCAATGGAGTTCAATTTATAGGAAAAAGTTTTGTAGTTTGGAGAGGTCAAGTGGCACCAACGTCATACGCTAGACGCTGACTTATTCTTGAAGTAAGCTTAAACAAGCATGGTTCAAGGCACAAAGTAGGATGGTTAGTAGGTTTAGCAGCGCCTAAGTTGGATTTGTCAGCAGAAATTAAGGAAAAGGAAAAGCAACACATGGGCCTAGCACGCTTTTGCACAAAAGTTTTCTTTCCCAAGACAATAGATGTACACGTGGGGGAAATCCTTTGGATAAAGACTCAAAAGTGGCTGTGAGCATTAAATGATGTATTAAATGATAATGAGATTTATCAAATCAGAAACCCTGCCATGTGAAACTATGCATCATTTAGAAGTTCAACTTCAGCGTAGCTTATAATAGGCATCCAATCTTCTGATCCTTTTATCTTCTGGCTCCAGCATGTTCTGAAGGAACTCCCAGACTTTCTAGGAAACTTGCAACATGCTTTGTAACCTTGTTTGAATTACCCTTGCAAACTCTGACCGAAACTTTGTGAAAACTGTCCCAGAAGTTCTGACCAAACCCTGTCTTGAAAGTGTCCAGAATTTGCTGAGTGCCTTAGTTTCATGGACGTATCTTTGAGGAGTTATAACTTGAGATCCCAGCATTTCTAGGAGAAATTTTGTTCTGCAATGTTTTAGATCTTTTTGAAATCTATAACTATTGAATTATAAATTCTTCCAAAATCAGCTTGCATCATGGTGATAATCTGATCAGCAGTTCTGAGCTTATCCTATTTCTTAAACACTTAGAAAAAAATTCTAATTATTTAGAAATTTGGCTTTTCCAAAGTACTTTTGAATTTCTTGATGAAACAAACTTCACATTCCAACATGTCTTGATGAAATATGATTCTTGAAAATTGATTTTGGTCCAAAAGTCAAGGTTTGACTTTTTAGTGTGCAAATGACCATTTTGCCCTTGTGAATGACTTTCTTGAAAAGTTGATAATTCAAGGCTTGGAAATAGATGGAAGCAAACCTGGGATCCAAGGTGATCCCTTGTGAAATGAGAGGGAAAATTTTGGGGTACAACAGGGTTGACTAGGGATTATCTTCCTTATAACTCCAGTATTTAGGAATTGAAAGAATGCATGTACATCGTGAGCAAGGTCTGTCCAAAAGCATATTGTATGAGAACATGGCATTATTTTTGTCATCCTTCCTCTAAAGGCTTACAACTTTTAACGAATATCACAAAAGGGAGTAAAAATCATAGTTTAAATATAGTGAAAACGAATGTATTAGTTCAAGACAAACATATGTAATGCATTAATGAAACAAATTTTAACATTAATAGATAAGTGTTCGAACAAACAAAAGATATTACAATTTAAAATTCAAAATGAAATGGACGCTCTTAATGATTTGACATGGGAGAAGTAAGCGTGTTGGGAGTCTCTGGATGGATGAATTCAATCTCCTTGGCATCAATCATGTTTTGAATCTTGTATTTCAGTGCCCAACAATCGTTAGTATCATGCCCAGGACTGCCAGAATGATAGGCACATATTGCATCAGGATTGTAGTTAGGAGAAGAAGTTTTGGGGTTTGGATGTGGTCCTATCAATTTGATCAAATTCGTCCTTAACATGTGTTACAAAGCTTGAGACAATGGTATGTTGATTTTGGTAAAATGTCTTTTGGGCTCGTCTTGCCTTCGCTGATTTCCCCGTTGTTGTCGCACTGATGCGGGACTAGAGATCAGGACTACCCCCACATGTTGATCGTGGTTACTCTTGTTACAACCCTTTTGGCCGTACACAACATTGGACTCTTTCTTCCCATTGTATGGCTTCTTCTGAGTATCAGAGGATGTAGCTCCTTAGATCTTTCCGCTTCTTATTTCATTTTCAACTTGTTCCCCAATTAGAATCAGCTCGGTGAACGCAATCATCTTCCACCTTCAAGTCACGAATGGCGGACTCGACAATCTAACTCTTCAAGTCTAAGAAGATTGAACAGGGGAAACTGTTGTACCCCAAAATTTTCCCTCTCATTTCTCAAGGATTCTCCCCCAAAATCTCTCACAACATCCAATTTACAACACTAATACATCAACTTGGGTTTGGAATTGACACAAGGACAAAGTGGTCAATTACACACTGAAAAGTCAAACTTTGACTTTTGGATCAAAATCAATTTCCAAGAATCATATTCCATTAAGACATGTTGGAACGTGAAGTTTGTTTCATTAAGAAAATCAAAAGTCAAGATCATGTTGAAAAAGTCAAAATTCTAAAGGTAGGAAAACAAATCAACAATTAAAAGGCTCAAGAGAGCTTACCTAGAGAGATTATATATAGGCTAGCATGCCAAATAAAGTCTAACAAAACTATCCTATAGGGAACATGCAATGAGAGCGAATTCGTGATCTCAATTCCTAAATTGAGTGACTCATCGATCAATAAGAAATAAAGGAAAGCGATAAAATCCTATAAGGAGCATATACTGAGAGCAAAGTCATGATCTCAATTCTTAAATTGAGTGACTCGTTGATCAAAAACCAAGGAAACAAACACAAGCACAACACATATAGCAAATAAAGTGTGGAATGCCTGCTACAGGTCTTTAAACAGCGACTTCGAGCACACGCTCTTTATTTCCTGCTTCCTACTTCACATGATTTTTAGAAAGCGATAAATGTTGAAATGAGATAAACAAGGGAAAATAGCAGACGAATATCAATTCGTAGCAAAGCATATCAAAACAAAGAAACCTGACAATCTTCACGAAAGCTTCACCAATCAAAGAAAAGAGTCAGAAATCAAATGCTAGGAACAAACGTCGAAGCATCATCTATGTGAAAATAAATCACAAGCAGAATATGTGCCAAGCATATCCAAATATCACACTGTAAACCTGTATAAGACTCAAATCTTGACAAGCAAAAGTGAATCATGAAATCGTAGCAACCAAATGTTGACTAAGCATAACCGATGATAGAAAATTCTAATCAAAATTCCAAAAAAAGAAATCTAGAAAAATTCCAAAAACTATTCCTAAAAAATTTTATTGTCTTTTTATTATCAGTATTTCTTTTATTAATATAAATTGTGAAAAAGAAAGAAACTAATGCTAAGATGTTATAAAAAAGAAACAAGAGAGTCAAGGGTGCTAATTGAAATCAGGGGCGTGAAGGGAAATCGGGCGCAAGGCCCAAGCATGAGTCTAATAGTATTATTTTTTTTGTAAAGCCTTAGACTTACCAAAAAAAAACTAAAAAATGGGCTTTGAAGGAATAAAATTCGGTCCAGTTAACTCTACTCACAAAACCATTAGCTTCACATTTAATTGGCCTTTTTATTATCCAATTTCTAGATTTTTTTATTTATAATAACATGCTGTTATTAAATTTTTAAAAAATTAAGAAAACAACAAATGCAAAAAAAGGAAAAATAGAAAGATGGTTAGGGTTGAGCGTTGTGACGACTGAACTTCTATGTACAAAGCTATCCTCTCACGAAGGCGTTGTTCACCAAATGCTCTTCTCTGATTTTCATCCACCGTCGGTGTCTGTCTCCGTCCTCACTTCCGCGATCGCTCTCTCATCTCTTATTTTCGCGGATTTAACTTTCCTCTCTTCACAATTTCACCAATGTTCTCACGGCGCCGATTCTCAGTTTCACTCAATGTTCGCCTCAACCTCCGGACTCTCAACATCTCAATCGCTCTGCCTCGATTTCACCTCTCAGCATCACTGCTCACCTCTTCATTTCACTCAATGTCCCTTCTGAGTTTCTTTCAACAAAAAGAGAATGAAATCTATACAAATCGATATGTAATCTCAAGTGAACCTCAGAATTAGGCCTCGAGTCGTGCTATGGTGGAATAATATGCTAGGAATTCAAGGAAAGTGGAACCTGATCTGGTTGCTCGAAGAGGATGATGATAAGCTCTGAGAAAACTAGAGGGGAGATTCATGTCGTAAGGTACGAAAATCACTTATATGTTAGCCTCTGTCGGTGTGCCTTCTTCTTCTTTTTGTCAATTCTACTCTTTTCTTCCATTTTCTTGAGAGTTGCGATATGTTGAGGAATGTGCGACACCGCTATCACGTTGTTGCAGATTCGCGGGGATGATGGCGTGAAGGTGATGATGAAAGGTGCAATGGCTGAAGCCTTAATCGGCGTGAGGATCGTGGGGCTGAGATACGGAAGATGAAGGTTCAGGTACTACAGATTAAAGCAGAGAGATTTTTGCAGAGAATTTCAGGGTTGTGAGAGATTCCAGTGAATTATGAAAAGATGAATCGTGAATGATGAAAAAGAGAGAAGAGAATTTTATGTGATTTTGTGATTCTTCTGCAGAAGTGAAGAATGATGATGATTCGAGTTGAATTTTCTGGTTTTATTATGTTAGTATTGTAAAAGTTGGTTAAAGCTGAATTAATCATGGACCATTGGATCTAAATTTCTGTTATTAAATGTAGGGTTTAGATGAGATCAGTTAAAAGGTTAGTTATGATTCTGTTATAACAGTTAGTTGTTGTTTTAGTTGGTTATAGGCTAGGCTTAGTGTAGTTTTCAGTTATGAGCTCATTACTGGAAATGTTAGTTGTCAATTATAGGTGGTTATAGGATGAAAGAAAAAGATGGGGTGTTAGTTAAAATCTGTTAGAATGTTCATAAAGTGCTAGAAACCTTGTTAGTAAAGCTGCTAGAGGCTATTATTCAAGACATTTAAGAGGTTAATTAAAAAATGGTTAGGAGGTCCTGAAAATCGGAAAAAAATCATAGACAACTCACTGTTATCTACCGCACTGAATGTTAAATCTACTTAGAAAAAGAATGGTTGGAAAATGTTAGTAAAACTGTAAGTTAATGTTAAAATCAACCATGTTAGTAGGTTGGTTGAAAGATTTGAAAGTTAATTGGAGGTCTTGTTAGAATAGTTATGAAATATTAAATTCTAAATGTGTGGGACTGTATTTAACTGAATTATATTATCTGTTTCACGAAGGTACGCAATGGTACTGGGTTTTTGTTGGACTGATCTCATGTGCATGTTTGGTTTTGTTCGAGAGCAAGTCATGGATCAGAATTGTGCTAGGCTAGTTGTTGATGGATGTAGGGCTACATTGTGTATGAGATTTGAGCAAGCAGCTGAGATGCTTATTGTGTACAGGCATGTTCATTTGTTAATTGACCCTCAGAGCTTTAAGGGAATCATGGAAATTGGTTGAAGAATAAAAATTAGGAATAAGTTTAAAACATAGTAAAATTTTGTGTATTTTTGGTATGGCGTAATGTATTGGAACCTTGAATGGACTTGAATGGACTCTTGAATTTTAAACTTGAATGATGACAGATATTTGTAAAAAAAATGATGATGATTTGTACTTGAAACTTGGAATTTGATGAATGATGGTCACTTGAATGGTAAATGGAATTTGGACTTGTGATCTTGAAATTTGAAATAATGATGAACTTTGAACTCCTGTCCGAACTTTGAAATTTCCTTGAATAATTCTCGAGTGACCTTGTACATGAATGAATTTGATAGTTGCTCTAAATTTCAAATAACTTGTTTCTCAAGAAATCCACATGAATCATTTTCTAACCTTGCATGCTTGATAAATGAACTTTAATCCAATTTTTTGAAAAGACTTAAATTCAATAGATATTTCTATTGAAATAATCCAAAGCAAACTCCATGATCAAAATTCAAACTTCTTCAAGGAACCCTACAGTAAATGACTTATATGATAAGCCTAAAATCGAGCCCAATCTTTAATTGATGACCATGAACCAAATGGTCCCTAATATCACTCTCTGTCCTTTGTGAGAGAATGGATCCAATAACTTGATTCCCATGAATCTTGTGTAAAAAACAGTAAGGGAACCAACCCTATTTGATCTTAATGAATTCACAATGCCATCCTTATATCACGTCTTGTTATCCAATGAAAACCCATTGAAAATGTTGATAAACCCAAGTATGATAGGATATTAACCTTAATCCTCCTTTGAATGGGAGGGATCCCCTTGAAGCCACATAAATCCTAATTCCACGCTTTCACTAATATAAGGGAAATCAAGAACATCAAGATCTATTTGATATGCACTCCTCAAAATAATGTGGAAACTCGTGGCATTACGCGTCCACTGAACTTTTGAACCCATGTGCTTTATTCAATGCAAATGCATGTTATGTTAGTGCAAATGACCTAATGAAAAGATGTGAATGCAAAATCCTAAGCAAGATAAAAGAAATTATGAGGGCAAATTTTAGGGTGCAACAAGCTCCGATTGCGGTTTCTTGTTATCACTAATGTGTTTGTTGACTTGTGCAAGGTACTTTATGGGAGCTTTCAATTATGTAACTAAAGTGTTGGTTATGTGATTGAAAATCATTTGATTTGTGGATTCGCTTCCGACGCGATTTTATCTTGATTGTCATGTCATGAGAAATATGCATTATATGTGTTTTGTCTGGATGTGAATTTGTGTGCATATGTTCTGTTTATTACGAATGTGTATGCCACACATTCTTACCGTGCTTATTTGATTGATGCATATTCTGTCTATTATGTTGTTTATGCTAGCTTGCACGAAGTGTTCTGGAGTATTTATGCTTTTGCTTGCTTGATGTATAATAGACATTTTATCTTTTTCTTATTACATTGATTTCGGTTTATCTTTCCTCACAACGTCTCGCTCTATCAAGGCTATAAAAGAAGATCAAAGATTCAAAGAAAAGTTGTCGTTGGCCATCAAGCTTAAAGGATACGGATGTTGAAGATGTCAAAGCTGCAACGTTAAACATTCTGAAGACCACTACATAGAAGAGAGAAAAGAAAGAAAGAAAAAGAATATTTCAACAACATGTAATACAACTATCAACATATACGTCTTGGATGAAACATATGAAGCAAGGTGTTGTTGCTCTAGCTTTCTCAATGAAGAAGAAGATTCTATAAGATGCTAACTGTAATACAGTGGGGAGAGGTTTTCCAGAGACTGAAACTCTGACTGGGGATTGCATGGATCCAATTTTATGGGGATATCCATGAATTTGGCCTTGAGGGGTTTGTACCCTTATCCGTGAAGATTATTCTGTGGGGATAACCTTATAGAGATGACTTTGTGGGGACTTGACTGGGGATCATCCTATGAAAAGGACTTTGTGGGAATTTGTTGTTGTTTATAGCAGCGAGTGTGTAGTGCTCTCAGAAAATGTTTGCTTGGTCGTATGTGACTCTTTGTTGGAATTCATGTTCAATGCCCCAAGTGATTAAGATGCAGACCTTCCCCTGGTTATTCAGCACTTCTTGAGAGATTTCTTAGAATCTCGACTTGACTACCATAGATGAGTTGGATAGTGATATGTCATGCCCCTTGCTTATAGGAGATTTGTCATCATAAGTGTCTTCCCATTTGAAGTGATTCTGTTTCTTAAGAGAATTTATGTTCATTGGATATTCGTCGTGAAAATTTCTATGTAGTCAAACAAATAGTCATATGCAAACAGCGGTATTCAAACAATGCAAAGTTTATGTTTGTCTTGAAGTTTGGAAAATGCATTTTTAGTAAATAGAAGAATTTTGTAAAAACATGAATTCAACTCAGGATTTACAGTAAGCCTTACAGGAGTCAGGATACCTTTTATAATAGTATGCTTTCAAACTAACCCATACTTCAATTATGACTTTTAAGGGGTTCTAACGTGGCTTGGTTCACGGTTTAAGAAACAAAGGATAAGGCTCAAAGTGTGTTTGTACCCAACCCACTCTCCGTGATGTTCTTCAGTCCTATACTCAGTTAATTGTGCATTTTGAATTCCACTTGAGTCTGGAATGATATTTTGGTGACGGTTCAGACAAGTTAAGTTTATTTGAGAAGGCAGTCATTTTTGCAACATTTTTCATGTTGTCGAGGATTTGTAGTGCCCTCTTTTTGAGTTACTGTCCCTAATTTTTGCCTAACTGTTCTTGTTTTGAGATTACAGTCAGCGGGATGCCCCATCTTTTCTTAAGTCTCCTTCATAGGTTTTGACCTAGTGGGCTTTTCTTTTGAGAGATAATGACTTCCTATTTCACGGGGAACCATCATCGGCTTTTGATTCAAAAGGATGTTTTTGATGTCACTTGTTGTGTACGAAGTGAAAGCTTACGACTGAACGCGCATTTGAATTAACTGATAAACTACCCTGCCCCAGGTTTTGATTAAAGGTTTCAATTTGTGTGAAAAAGAAAACTCCCACTTCTTTGGCTCAAAGGGGTTGACTAGGGATTATCTTCCTTATAACTCCACTATTTAGGAATTGAAAGAATGCATGTACATCGTCAGCAAGGTCTGTCCAAAAGCATACTGTATGAGAACATGACATTGCTTTCGTCATCCTCCCTCTAAAGGCTTGCAAATTTTAACTAGAGTTGAATATCACAAAAGGGAGTAAAAAGCATAGTTTAAATATAGTGAAAATAAATGGATTAATTTAAGACAAACATATTCAATGCATTAATGAAACAAAGTTTAACATTAATAGATAAGTGTTCGAACAAACAAAAGAGATTACAATTGAAAATTCAAAATGAAACGGACGCTCTTAATGATTTGGCATGGGAGCAGTGAGCATGTTGAGAGTCTCTAGAGGGCCTAATTCAATCTCCTTAGCGTCAATCATGTTTTTAATCTTGTATTTAAACGCCCAACAATCGTTAGTATCATGCCTAGAACTGCCAGAATGATAGGCACATATTGCATCGGGATTGTAGTTAGGAGAAGAACTTTTGGGGTTTGGATGTGGTCCTATCAACGTGATCAAATTCATCCTGAACATGTGTTGCAAAGCTTGATACAATGGCACGTTGATTTTGGTAAATTGTCTTTTGGGCTAGTCTTGCCTTCACTGATTTTCCCGTTGTTGTTGTTGCATTAATGCGGGACTGGAGATCAGGACTGTTAGAACATAGTTTGATTCTACAACTCTCAGTTAAAGTTTTGATGATAACAAAATACAAGATTAAAGGAATTATGAGATTTATATAAGACATATATTCTACTCAAAATTATGTTGTGTATTTACAGGAAACTCTGATGGAATCAGCATCAGAATATCAACATCAGCATCAGAAGATATGTCACATCAGAAGATCAAACATGTGCTATGCTGAAGTTTGATGAATAGAATCTGCGCTCAACATACTCTGACTCTGATCAAGATCCTAACCATGTCATCAGCACTCAGAAGCGTCAGAATAAGCTAAAGCCAAGAACACTCTGATTTTCATTAAGCAGAACATTCTGAAGTGTCAACGTTACTGCATTCAAGACAGATTAATTACCAACGGCTTTATTCCAAGACAAATATCTTCTCAAAAGGGAAAGAACGTTATGAGCATTGAAATGGAATTATGGACAGCAACGTATCTATTCCAAGGCTATTTAAACAAATTAGTGAGAAAAGAAATGGATAATTCTCTTATACGCACGTACGCATAAGCCAATCATCTTCACGTTCTCACTCATTCAGTTTGCTAAAGTTCTCAAGCGCTTACTCTATAGCTCTAGCAATCTAGTATTATCCAAGCTTAATTTTGTGTATTATCACAGTTGTGATATATAGTTTTTCTAGAAAACATCAAACACACATTTGTTCATTTATCTGTAAAAGAATTTCCTTGAGATAAACCGGTCTATGGTTAGACTCAAGAAGGCTTTAGCAGTTGTTAAAGCAGTTGTTGTATTCAGTTGAATATAGTGGATTAAGACCTTGTTGGAGAGAGGCGAAATCACCTTGACGGGTGGACTGGAGTAGTTTGAGATCAAACGAACCAGGATAAAAATAATGTGTTGTCTGCATTTGATTTCAAGTTTTACAATTCAACCCCCCTTTTTGTGTTTTTCACTTCTTCAATTGGCATCAGAGCGCCTGTTTCTGAGCTTATAACACTTAACCGTGTCAGTACAAGATCCAGCGTTGAAAAACACTATGACAGGAACACATCAAAACATCAGCAATGACAACAATGAAGAAAGAGACAGATTCAGTGGCAAGCCTCCAGTCTTTGATGGAGAGAACTTTGATTACTGGAAAGACAGAATTGAAAGCTTCTTTCTGGCCCACGATGTTGATCTGTGGGATATGGTGACTGATGGATACACGCACCCAGTGAATGCAAGTGGTCAGAAGATTGACAGGAAAGCAATGTCTGATCAGAAAAAGCGTGATTTCAAAAAC